ATAACACAAAATATATTTTGAATGTTTTTTGTTTTCTGTGCTTTTGAGCCTTTCGGGCGCATATTTACAAGTTGTTCTTTGCAACCAGGAGAACTAAAAAATATCTTTTTAATATTAAATAAAAGCCAAAATCTGTGCATTACCATGTGACTCCAGGGATAAGACCATTGAGGAAACATCAAATATCACAGGAGTCCCAATAAAATGTTGGGAGTTGACTACTCTGTGACAGGGTCTAGCCACTGTAGGTGGTGATGTCATGAGATATTTTAGATACATGTGTGCTCCTATGAAGTATAACAGTTTTCTTCTTCCAGGTGCCTCTGTGTGTGTGTATGCATATATATTTGGTTTGTTCTTAAATAGTCATTTTTATCCTTTATGTAACTCTCTTGCAGTCAGTAGAATTTTGCTGTGAGCAAATGTAGCACAGGGTGATTGTGTGAAAGAAAGTTACAAAAATGTATGTAAGCTCTTCCCAGAACATTGAGCAAAAATGCTAATAGATCTCTCTGTTTATAATTTTACATGGGAGGATTGATGGCTTTTAGCTAAATCAGTTGCTGAAGTCTGCCTGCAGCTGCTGAACATGGTCAAATGAACAATTAAAGGTCAGACACTGCTGAAAGTAGTCAAATGAACAATTAAACCTCTGTTGTAAATAAGTCTTAGTCTTGGAGTAAAGCATTCAACATCATAATTTACTATCTCTGCTAGCTCCAGAGCTACCCTAAAAATAACTTGAACTGACATATATCATTTTTAAATTAAAATGTGTTCCTATTCTGGTAAATGTTTCAAAGACCCAGATTACTTGAAAGAATAAAATGAAATAATTATGTTTTGAGTAATCTGAAAATCAAGTTAATAAGTTAAATTAACCTCCTCCTCCTCCACTCTCACTGCTTTCTAATCTTGCAATGCTGGTTTGACTGTTTGTGTGCCATCAGCAACAAAAATAGGCTTTTGAAGATCTGCTGTAACATTGCTTAGCAGAATACAGGGTTGCGTATTCTCATAAACACCTCTGTCTGATTTATCTTTGTGTCCTGAAACTGTCACATGATAAATTGCTGTTTTTAGGCCTTACATCAGGAAGTTCTAATTCTGAGACTGACATTCTCCGACTTTGTAGTACATTGTAAAAGGAGACCACTTTAAAAACTAAAAAGGAGTATAGTAAATAAAATTCATCCTTGATAACATATTTTAATGTATTTATGTTCTTGGTTTAAGATCTTAGGTTAAAGTTCTTAAAGATCTAGTTCACAGATCTTACTTTAAAAATTGTAACAGTAGTAGTGCTATCAATAATATTATTGAGTGTTTTCTTGCAACAGAAGTCATCCTTTTTTTTTCAGGAGAACCCTGAAATCAGATCTCAGCAGGTGCTGTAACATCTTTTAGCTAACTACAAACAGAAATACATTTCTTTCTGAAGATTTCACATGCTTTTTTTTCTGCTCAAACTTGACCCCTGTTAGGGAAGGCTCAGACAAAATTCACCGCAGCACTGAAGAACAGCAGCAGGCGGCCACATAAAGAGTGAATAATACAGTACATAGAATTCCAGTCTGTCTTAAACATGAAGCATTTATTAAAGAAAGCAACAGGAGACACCAACAAATGGGCTTCCTCACTACTTGTGTTCCTGCTTTGTCTCTCTTGTTTACCTGGGAATGCACCCATTCTGGAAAGCTGATCAGTTTACAGAGACATCTAGTGGCTGAATAATATATTGCAGGTAAATATATCCTACTGAGACCTTACACCTCAAGTAGTTTGGCATAAAGAAAGGTGAAGGAACAGCTTGGGGATAATTTGGGGCTCCGGAATCTACAATAATATAAACCAAGAGGCCTCTTAAACCTATGTAGACAGTGCAGTAGTATGAGCCTTTATGCAAGTTCCTTTCCTGCAGGTAGGAAAGGAGTGAATCCATGCCCACCCACCCCCAGTCACCTTCATGCATGATCTTTGAGAGGCATTTGAGCTTCATTTGCTGCTGGTGGGTTTTTTTCTGTTTGCTTTTTTTTAACCACGCATTTTTAACTACATATTGTTTCAACTTTAAAATAATGACTATCTGCTGAGAATATCATATGGGCTCTAAGGAGAGTTGTTTCAAACACACAACCATGCAACAGAGAATATTTTAAAATTAATTTCTAGTAAACCTTTTCAGAGTTCAGACAGACAAAAATCCTCCCTGGCAGCACAGGCAGTGTCATTCGAGATTATCTTTTAAGTCTGAAGGAGAACAGGCCACTTCCGTCAGTTGTTACAATGTGTAGCAGCACTACCCATTCCAGACTCAAAAATATCCTTGCTTTCATCCCAAAGACGACAAGGAAAGAAATAAAAACTACATGGAAAGAAGAGTAAAACCAACCAATTCCACAGACCCATTTAAATTGATTCCTGCACCCCTTGGTTCTCTTACCAGCTCTGCCAGTGGGTTTCCTAATAAATGATATTCCTTGTGAAATCCTGTCTCTCTATGATATGTGACACATGAGAAAAGAAGTTGCTTATGTTGACTCCACTTTCAGGGAAAACACTGGCAAGAGCTGACAAGTCTGGGATAGGTATATATTTTATTATGAGGGGGTGGAAGGTGACTTTTTTCATTCAGTGAGACTTTTAAACAGAGATGTATTTTC